TTTATTACTATAAAATCTTCATTTAGTCAACTTTCTAAGTGCTTATTTCACTCTGAGCTATTTTTTGAAGAAAAAAATGATGAGACAAAAGGAGTTTGCAACTGTAAATTTGTGAAACATAACTGTCAAAAAATTTGGGTACATGACATAAGTCTGAAGCAATAACTCGGTTGCATGCATTATGCTTATAGATCTGTCTATGAGAATGCATGTGACTTGTTTAAGCATCAATAACCGGCACTGATATATGGTAATATTCTCGCAAAAAAAAAAATGTTTTTGAAACCACTATATGCAAAACTTTTTTTTATGTTTTTAAACATTCAAAGAAGAAAGTTTTTTTTTCCTAATGAATTAATTAATCTTTGAGCTAAATTAATGCGATTTGTTCTTCATTTTTGCTCTTTCTTTTTTTTTCTTTTATTTCTGAGCAATTTTTGGTGTTTAGGCTATATAAAAAGCCCTATATTAAGAAATTTCATAATTTTTTCTTCTCTTTGTTAAATAACAATGCTATATGAAAAATTGAAATCAATAAAAACAAAAACATGGAGTTTTTTAGAAAAGCTTTTAAAAATAAGGGAAGATTTTGGGGTTTAGATTTAGCAATACTAAAACAAAAACAAAAACAACAACAACAACAACAACAGCAAAATAAAACCTCAAAAAGCAAATAGTAAAGTAAAAGATTCGTAAATGAATGATAAAATTTATTTAGGTTTTTTTTTTGCTTTCTTTTTTTTTTACCTCACTTCTTTCTTGAGATCTTTTTTTCAGATAGCAACCGATGTTCAAACACCAGTCATTAAACTGTTAATTAAATTTTAATTAACATTTGTCAGTAATAAATATCAAAAATGTATTATATAAAAAAAAATGTAGGGTACTATTTTGAAGAAAAAACAGGACTGAATTTTACACAAGCTCCTTTTTTTTTTTTCTGCAAAAATTAGTTTCAAAGATGAAGTTTTCTTCTTGGTTTTCTTTAGATCTGTTGCAATTAGGCTTGAATTTTTTGAAAATATCTTTCCTTTTTTTTTTGTATACAGCAATAAACTAAAAATGCCTAAAAGTTCATTGTTTCTGTTCTTTAAAAAGAATTCCAATTCAGTCGCTTTAAATACTCTTTGAACAAAATAGTTTTAATTACAGAAGAATGAAGAAGAAATTTTACTTGTTTTTTTTTCAGTTGGTGCTTTACAAAATTGACAAATCTGAATTCATCATTCAGATACATAAATTTTAATTGTATCGCAAAAAAAAAAATTTGCATCAAAAATCTGCAGATTACTAACAGATGACAATAAAAAAAATTCTAAATTTTTTTTGCAGCATAATCCTGAAAACAGTTTAAATAGGTGAGCAAAAAAGTTTGTAACCTATAGAAGTAAAAAAAATTTAAGTTTTATCTAAATTTTTCAGATTGTGTTACAGATTCACAGATATACAGATCTGAAGCAAAATTCCAATTTTGACTGCTTTAGCAACTGTACGGTAATTCAGAGTCCAAACTTGTAAAAAAAAAGCTTTTTTTTTTGAAAGTCGAAAAAAACTCGAAGAAAATTTTAACTTTTTTTTCGCCTTTCTTTTTTTGCAATGATTAACCACAATTGGCTGCGTTTAAAACTTTTAACTAAAACAAACCTTTTTTTTTTACTTAACTTTTGCAAGCTTTTTTATTTTCTTTTTTCAATCTTTTTTTCTTAAATCAGAAGCTGTTTTATTCAAATATATAAACAAAAGAAAAAAAACAGATAAAAAAAACTATTATAAATTTGATTTGATAAAAGTTGTCTATCACTGAAAACTTTACTTTGTTTGTTTTTTGTCAAAGTTACTCCACTGCTTAGCTATCGGTTTACAACAGTTAAGTCCAACTGGTAAAAATTCATCAAAATTAATAGGGTGGCGTTCTGCCTTAATCATTTTTCAACCTCTTTTTTTCCTCCGCAGTGTCGCAGATGGTGGTCACATGAAAATAGAAAAATGGTCAAACTTAAGAGCAGAAATTAATAAGTTTGAAAGCACAAGGCTGTTTGAAACTTACACTGATTTAGACTGTACATTAGATCAAATTGAAATTCTGCTTACAAAACTCATTAACAGTTGTTGAAAATGAGTTGTAAATTGTACATTATTTTTGCGACCAAAAATGTATGTTGAAAAATGGCAACAGTTATGAGCTGTTTTTGCTAAATGTTGAGCGATAAATCGAGAGCGATAGCTTCTGATAGATTTTCAGCTTAAGTTTTTCAGCTTCTGTCGTCAACTTTTTTTTTTTATCTGTTCAGTTTAGTGCCGCTTTAATCAGATTTACAAACATAATATTTTATTTTTGCAAAATTAAAACATTCGATTGATTTTTGTTGCATATTACTGAAGTACAAATAAATTTGTTCAAAAATTAAAAAACGACAACATTTTGGAGGAAAAAATTTTAGATGTGACAAATAAGAAACCAAATCAAATTGTCTATCACTAATTTTAAGTTTTATGCCACAGTTATTGTTTTGCAGTTGTTAAATCTGTTTATAAATCACCAATGACTGTTACGCTCCACCGTTAAACTTAGCGATGTATCTTTTCAGTTGTTGTTGTTGGCTAAATACTACTTTCTTTAACAAAAGTATAAACGGAAGTTACATATCTACTTGCTATTTTCACATAAATTATTTTTTAAGCTTAGTATTTGGTGGAGAAAAAAAGAAACAAAAAAAGCTAGAAAAATTTTTAGAAACTAACACAGACATAAGCTATTAGACAACAAAATTTACAACAAGAACGTAGACTGAAGTGTAAGCACGTTTCTGAAATAGACCAAAAACAGAGGTGATTTTTTGAGAAATTAACTACTATCAATATTTATTTATTTATTTTTTTTTTGTTGATTTCTGAAAGCAGTTCTTTGA